CTTGGTTAAGTTTATTCCTAGATATCTTTTTATTGTTGTTGTTACAATGGTAAATGGGATTGTTTTTCAGTTTCTCATTCTGAGAGTTCATTATTGGTGTATAAAAATGCTGTCGATTTCTGATTGTTAATTTTGTATCCTGCTACTTTACCTAACTCATTTATTAAATCTGGCAGTTTTTTGGTGGAGATTTTAAGGTTTTCTATGAACAATATCATCCCATCTGCAAATAATGACAGTTTTACATCCTCCTTTCCAGTCTGGATGCCTTCTATTGTTTCTTCTCTAATCACTGTGGCTAGGACTTCGAGTGCTATGTTGAATAAGAGTGGTGAAAGCAAACATTCCTGTCTTATTTCTGATCTTAGGGAAATGCTTTCAGTTTTTTCCCATTTAGTATGATGTTGGCTATAGATTTGTCATATGGCCTTTACTATGTTGAGTATGATTCCTCTATTCCCATTTAGCTGAGAGTATTTATAATAAATGGGTGCTGGATTTTGTCAAATGCTTTCTCTATATCTACTGATATGATCATTTGGTTTTTATCCTTCATTTTACTTATGTAATGTATCACGTTTATTGATTTGTGAATTGTATGAGCCTTGTATCCCCGGACTAAATCCCACTTGGTCATAGTGTATGAACTTTTCAGTGTATTGATGTATCATATTTTGTTCAGGATTTTAGTACCTATGTTTAGCAGGGATATTGGCCTGTAATTTTCTTTCTTTCTGGTGTCTTTTTCTAGTTTTGTAATTAGGATCATGCGGTCCTTGTAAAAAGAGATTGGAAGTCTTCCCTCCTCTTGAATTTTTTGGAATAGTTTGAGAAGGATAGGTGTTAGTTCTTTGAATGTCTTTGCCTGTGATGCATGCCATCTGGTCCAGGACTTTTGTTTGTTGGCAATGTTTTGATTACTGCTTTAACTTTATTCGTTGTTATCAGTCTATTCAGATTTTCTGATTCTTCCTATTGAGTTTTGGAAGATTTTATATTTCTAAGAGTTTGTCCATTTTGTCCAGTTTGTCGGCATATAGTTTGTTCATTCTGTTTTCTTACACTCCTTTCTATTTCTGTGATGTCAGTTGTGACTTCTATTTCATTTCTGATTTTATTTATTTTGGTCCTCTGTTTCTTGGTAAGTCTGGTTAAAGATTTATCAATCTTGTTTATCTTTTCAAAGAACTACCTCTTGGTTTCATTGATTTTTTTTTTTTTTTTTTTTTCAGACTTCATGTCATTTATTTCTGCTCTGTTTTTTTATTATTTCCTTCCTTGTCCTTACTCCTGGCTTTTCTTTTTCTCTTTCTAATTCTTTTAATTGTGTCCCATAGATTTTGGGTGGTTGTGTGTTCATTTTCATTTTTTTCTGAGAAGATTTTCATTTCTTTCTTGATCTCATTGGTAACCCATTCATTGTTTAATAACATGGTATTTAGCTTGAATGTTTTGAGTTTTTTTTATTGTAGTTGATTTCTAGTTTCATGCCACTGTGATCTGAGAAGATCCTTGATATAATTACAATTTTCTTGAATTTTTGTAGAGACTTATTTTGTGTCATAAAATGTAGTCTATTTTTGAGGCTGTTCCATGTACTCTTGATAAGAATGTATATTCTGCAATTTTGGTATGATATGTCCTCTAAGTATCAATTAAATCCCTCTGATCTAGAGTGTAGTTCAAGGTCTTTTGTTTCCTTGTTCATTTTTTATCTGAAAGATATATCCAGTGAAGTCAGTGGAGAGTTAGTCTTCTACTATGATTATATTGCTGTCAGTCTCTTCCTTAACAACCACTAAGAGTTTTTATTTATTTAGGTGCTTTATGAGGTGCATGTATGTTCACCAGTGTTCTGTTTTCTTGTTGGATGGAACATTTTAGTATTATGTAGTAACCTTCTTTGTCTCTTGTTATGGCCCTAGCTTTTTTTTTTTTTTTTTTTTTTTTCATTTCCCTTTGCATGGAATATTTTTTCCCATCCTTTCACTTTCAGTCTGTGTGAATCATTTGTTCTGAGATGAGGTGTGTGTGTGATCTTTTCTTACCCAGTTACCCTCTATCTTTTGATTGGAATACTTATTCCGTTTACACTAAGGTTATTATTGATAGGTACTTATTTATTGCCATTTTATCTTTATACCTATCTTCCTCTCTTCTTTGATTTTTTTTCTTATTTTTAAAGCAGTCCCTTTAACATTTCTTGCAATGCTGGTTTGGTGGTAATGTACTCCTTTAGTCTTTTTATTTTTGTCTGGGAAGCCCTTTATTTCACCTTCAATTTTATATTTTTTTAATGTTTTTATTGATTTTTTTTTTAAAGAGAGATAGAAACATTGATGTGAGAGAGAAACATCCATCAGCTACCTCCTGCATGCCCCCACTGGGAATCAAGCTCACAACCTGGACATGTGCCCTGACCAGGAATCAAACTGGGACCTTTCAGCGTGTAGGACAATGCTCAATCCACGGAGCCACTCCAACCAGGCTCACCTTCAATTTTAAATAATAGTCTTGGTGGATAGAGTAGTCTTGGATTCAGATCCTTGCTTTTCATTACTTTGAATATTTCATACCAGTCCCTTATGTCCTGAAGTGTTTCTGATAAGAAATCAGCTGACATTCTAATGGGAACACTCTTGTAGGTAACTTTCTGTCTCTTGCTACCTTTAAGATTCTTTTTTTGTCTTTAACATTTGTCATTTTAATTATGATGTGCCTTGGTGTTGGTCTCTCATGGTTCATCTTGATTGGGACCCTTTGTGCTTTCTGAATTTGTGACCTTTCCTTCACCAGTTTAGAGAAGTTTTCTGTCATTTTTTTAAACAGCTTCTCTATTCCTTGCTCACTTCTTTCTCATACCCCTATGATACGGATGTTGTTACATTTTATATTGTCCCAAAGTTCCCTTAAACTCTCCTGCTTTTTAATTCCTTTTTCTTTTTGCTGCTGTAATTGGGTCATACCTTGCCATTCAAGTCACTGATTTGATCCTTCACTTCATTCAATCCACTTTTGATTCCTTCCCATGTATTCTTGATGTCAGATGTGGTAGTCTTAGTTTATGACTGGTTTTTGTTCATGGTTTCTATTCATTTTTTATACTGTTGTAGTTACCCCTAAGTTTCTTGTAATTCTCACTAAATTCCTTGAGCATCCTTATAACCATTACTTTGAATTCTATCATCTCATTAATTGCTTGCCTCCATTTCATTTTGTTTTGTTTTTAGATTCCTCCTTTTCTTTCATTTGTTGGTTGTTTATATGTCTCCACATTTTAGCTGTCTCCTTGTGTTGGCCTCTATGTATTAGGTAGAACTACTATGCCTCCCAATCTTTATGGGGTGGCCTTATGTAGTAAATAAATGTCCTGTGGGAGCCAGTGGTGCAGTCTCCTTGAGCTCTTGTGCTGGATGGTCTAGGAATGTCTCAATGTATCTATTATGTAGGCTCTCTTCTTGTAATTGGGTCTTGATTGCTTTTTACCTGTTCATGTGGGATCAGTTCTCAGGCTGGCTGTTGGGCTCAACTCCAACCATGTTGTGCAAGTTGTTCAGGTGTCAAGAGTGCCAGTGGCTCCTGCATACATGCAGGTTGGTCAGCACCTGGCTGTTGGCAGCAAGTATCTTTTGGGACCAAGTGTGACCAGGTGGTGGCAGCAGGGGTCCAAGGAATCTTAAGTTTTATACTTGAATTAAGGTAGCTTCAGATTGGAAATGTCCTCAACACCTTGCTTTTCTGCTCAGGGCCTCTGTAAGCTGAAATCCAGGTATTGGCTAGGTTGAGTTTTCAAATGGGAACCTGACTTGAAAAGGATCAGCTTCTGTGGCTCTAGAATTCATAGCAGCTGCATCCTCAAAGCCAACATTGGAGACAGTGGTCCTGCTGCTTTGAGTTTTTAGGAATTATCTTTTCTCTTTTGTTCAGAAATGACCACTGTTAAAATTTTGATATATAACTTTTCTGGGTTTCGTTGTGTGTGAATGCATATATGGATCAAGACATGCGCACAATGTACTGTTTTTACAAACTTTTATATAATGAACATTTTCTTATATCATTAAATACTCTCCAACATTTTATTGACCACTTAATGTTTTGTTGTTTGAATAAATTATAATTTATTTGGTTCCCTGTCAGCATTTAGGATACTTTTAATTTTTTCCTGTTATGGGTAGCTTTGAGAGAGCAGCATTACTTTTTTTTTTTTTTTTTTTTTTTTTTTGGCATAATAAGGAAAACAAATTTCCAACTACTTTTTGATACCTAGAATATCCACAGTGAGATCTTGTAAACTCATGAAATAGCATCTCTTTTTTGCATACAATCTCTTGGCTTTACAGTTACCCTTGGGTTCCAAATAAAATACCTCCAATTCACTTCTTTTGATTTTGATACTAATAAATAAGACTGCCTCTGAATTTCGTACTAATATTTAATAGGTACACCTTGAGTAAATGAAATTTTTGTGGACTGGTATGCTAATTTCTATATTATATTCGTGAGAAAATAAAATCACATTTGTTGAGAGTTGCAAGTAAATTTTTTAAATTTTTTAAATATATATCTTTTTAATCCTCACCAGAGGATATTTTTCAAATTGGTCTTTGGAGAGAGTGGAAGGGAGAGAAAGAGAGCGAGAGAAACATCAATGTGAGAGATACATTGATTGGTTGCCACCCATACATGTCCTTATGAGATCAAACCCACAACCTGGGTATGTGACCTGATCGGGAATCAAACCCACAACTTTTTGGTGTACAGGATGATGCTCCAACCAACTGAGCCACCTGGTCAGGGCACAAGTACATTTTTAAATGTTTTCTACCATCTATGTTTAAATTTGTAGTTAAGAATTTCTATATTTTTTATAATGTGATATATTTCTAGAATGTTAGTGAGCATGTTTTTAATAATTGCTTAAGGTTTTAATTATTGACCCATATTTTGGGTGTAGTAATCCTTTTCTCTCCCCTGTTTTTTTGTCTTACTTTGTGTAGATTGCTTCTATCTTTGCTTTTGCCACCTGTGGAGGTTTTAAGGGCAAAACAGAAATTCTAGTGAGTTGTCCTACTCTTAAAGTTCCTGAAAATAAAACAGTTACAGCTACTTTTGGTTATCCATTCAGGTGAGTTATTTGTATGTTTGTATGGTTTAACAACTCTTTTTACTTTCACATTGACTCATTAAGACTTCCAGCAACTTACCTTCTGGGATAGAAAATTTTAAATTGCATTCTCATTTGTAAATAGTGATCATTGCTAAGAAAACTGTGAAACATAGACTAGAGCCTTTCTACCAACTGTTTTCCTAGTCTGTGATGAAATAATTATAGAAAACGAGAGTCCACAGTTAGAAACTATTATATGGCATTGCCTTGATATTTTTCTGTCATCCCACAGTGGATTAAAAATTTACAAACAAAACTGACACTGCTCTTCACCATAGTGTGAGAAGCCATGATGTAGAAGCAAACACTACTTAAGAAAAAATCCAAATTTCTTGTGTGTTTGCCATTACTAAATAATAGTGTTCTTTATATAGTTTTAGGACATGGATTTATGTGTAGTGAGTTCCTATGGAGTTTCTATGGTAGCATAAAACTTTATTTTCTTACTGTCAAACTAAAGTGAATATTTTGTTTGTGAATTTTTCTGTTTGACTTTAGTATTCATTGAACAGGTTATTCAATATGTCCTGTGTTTAAGCCAGGGTATGAAGCTTCTTTCACTTACTAACTACTTATTTGACCTCTCTAGGGCTCAATTTTTATGGCCAGTATATTGGGAATATTACGTTTTAAGGTCGTTTGAATGATTAAATGAAATCTTACATTAAAGATATGTCTGTTAGTAAGTGCTTGGTATAATTACCTCTCCTTCTTTTAACCCCTCCTCTTATAAATTTCCTATACAAGGAACTGTTACTGCATCTTTAGCATTGTCTTGTGAATTATGGATAGGGAAAATTAAGGACAAGCTGACATTAGCAGGTAATGAAATCCAGGGTTAAAATGTGAATTATTATAATAGGCTCTTCCGGTGCTAGTCCCACAGACTCTCTCCTAGAATGGAATATCATGTCTCAAATTGTAAACTGTTTTGTGTCAGCCCTCTTAACCTGCTAAAATTTTAATACAGGAAAATAGTATCTGGGGTTGTAAGTGTATAAATTCAGTCTGTATTCAGTCTATCACAAGTCAGTACCAGGTATAATCTATAATTTATGTATATATATTATGAAATTTTTAATTTACTTAAATATTTGAATTTTTCCTTTTACTTCAAAAGGAAAATGTTTTTAATATACAGAATAGATCAAAAGTAGGTTTACAGTTGTGAATATGTGAAACAGTTTATTTTTATATTATTTATTCATTGTATTATTTTTTCATGCAAACAACTGTAAACCTACTTTTGTCTCACCCTGTGTTTGGGGAGTATTTTTTTAAATGTCATTTCTTTGTTCTGCCTATGTATTTCTGTGTTTGTTGGGAGAGTGCAGGTAATTCCTAAACTTATCGGAGCCTTTTTTTTTTTTTTTTAATAGGTTGAATAAAGTATCATTTCAAGCACTTCCATCAAATGTGTGTGATATAGATTGGAAAAATTTTGTCCTTATTGGAGATTACTCTTCTTCTGCACAATTCTATGTTACGTTTGCAGTCTTTGTATTCCTATACTGCATTGCTACCCTTCTGCTCTATGTTGGATATACAAACCTGTATCGTGATAATCGAAAACTTCCCATGGCTGTAAGTAATCACTTTCTTTTTATACAAAAATAATTTATATAAGATAAATATACATTATATTTCAAGTAAAACACCGGTTTTCTTATACTCGAAATAAAAATTCTTGGCATAAGCCAGTTCAAAATATTTTGACCTCTGTTAGCCATGAGGTTGCACTCTCTCCTGTTGTCATGTTAAACCAATTCTTTTATGTGTTTGCAGCACTTTTTCTGTACTCTGAGAAGTGCTGAGGTTTGTTTCTAATTCTATTTTAACTTGAGAAAAACTTAAATATGTAATAGAGCATATTAGGTTGCAAGTAACAGGGAAATTAAGTGGAGTTGGTGACCATTCTAGTAGTCTTATAACTGTGTTCCTACTTCTTACCTTTTTTCTCTCTTCAAAGATCCCCTTTATTCTTCTACAATGTGTTATTGAGATTAATAGTCAGGAATTAGCAAACTATAGCCCCCAAGCCAAATCTAATTCATTGTGTTTTGTTTTAATAAAGTATTTTTTGGAACACAGCCACACTCAGTCATTTACATATTATCTGTGACTGTTTTCATGCTACAGTGGCAGAGTTAAGTACTGTAACAGAGGAAAATATTTACTGTCTTGCCTTTTTCAGGAAAAGTTTGCTGACTCCTGGTCTAAATTCCTTAATTTAAAACATGATGCAGATAATTCTGTAAGAATTATAGAATTCAGCATTAGTGGCATTCATGAGCTAATTTTTAAACTTTAGATGGCAACAAAGGATTTGGATTTGAAGTCTTAGCACCTTTCTTGGCTTCAGTCTGTTGAGCTAAAAATATAAATAATCTCTAACATTTAGTTAGTAGAATCTGCCCTAAATTATTGATGGCAGATTCAGAAATAAGCCATTTCTGAATGGGTTTAAGCTTGACCTCCGCTACAGAAAAATAAGTACAAAGGTAGCATTAGTGTTAACTGACTTGAAAGGAGAACAGAGGTGTTTTTTGTGATACTAGTCATTTACATCTTGAGAAAATATTGCTATATACTAATTATTTGTAAAGTTATTTTAAAGGGAAGGTATTTAAGTATGAAGAAATTATCAAATAAGATAACAGGTTTTATTTATTTACTTATTTTTAATTTTTGCTGCCTGGATCATAAGAATACAAATGGTAAGTAAGGAATAAAACAATCTTTTGTCATCCATATTTATTTCATTTCTTATATCTGAGAAGAGATTCTTAAACCTGACGTTTTCATAAAATATATCTTAGTTAGGTGTCTTTAAAAAAATAAACATCAACTATTTGCAGTGCTAGGAATTTATGAAACTATGATGATCAGATATTATTTTGTTAAAATTATTTATAATTTAAATTCTAAATGAAGATATTTCTTGCCATTTTGTTGTTACCCCAACAAATTTTTAAGTTAAATTTAGCAGTGAGCCTTTCATTTCTCATACTTTGTTTAGTAAGCTTTAAAATGACCACACTTTTAAAAGCAGCATTCAGATCTATTTTTTGTAGGCTTTTCTGTATAATAAAACTATAAATCTTATCATTCAGCTGGTGTGGTTGAGTATCATCAACCCATGCACCAAGAGGTCACTGGTTCGATTCCCAGTGTGGAGCATGCAGGAGGCAGCCAGTCAGTGTTCTCTCTCATTGATGTTTCTCTCTCTCTCTCTCCCTCTCCCTCTCCCTCTCCCTCTCCCTCTCCCTCTCCCTCTCCCTCCCTCCTTCCTTCTCCCTCTCCCTCTCTCTCTCTAAAAGTCAATAAAGAAAAAAAAATTTTTAAGAGCATAATCAGGAAAGGGGGAAAAACAGCATGTTGTTTAATCAGGAATTTGGAAGGAAGAAACCTAAATATTAAGAGGATTTGATATACAGTAGAACCTCGGTTTTCTAACTTAATTTATTCCAGAAAGCTCTTTGAAAACCAAAACATTTTTTCCCATTAGAAATAATGTTAAATTGAATTAATCCATTCCAGACCCCCAAATGATTCCATTTTAACCTTTCTGAGATACAGTACATGTCTAATGTACCATTTAATCTTAAACAAGCACTTTAAAGACAAAAAGGACATGAAATGTAAATGAAAATTTAACAAAAAGAAAATGCGCAGTAATAAATGAAACTTTAACAATAATCAGCAAAAAAAAAACCCACAAAAATATTCACAGCACAATTTCCTGAAATGTTAACATCAGTAAACTGATTCATACTTTTGCATTCTCTTCTTTGTTACCTGAAAGACTCATGACTAATCATACAGGTAGTATGAAAAGGTTGTCAGGTTGAGCAGCAAATTGGTCAAAACTGAACTTTAGCCCAGAGATTACTTTCTTAACATGTGATAACCTCATACATATTAGTTGTCAGTTCTCTAAAAGGCATTGTATTTCTAGCAAGTGTATAGGAATTGTCTGCCTGCAACCAGGAGAGGACTCCCTCAATGCAAAAATTTAAGCTATAATGTTTTTGTCCTTTTCTCTTTGATCTACATTTTTTAATAGGACAAGTAACAGTAGAGAGCTCAAATGCAAATACCTCCATGTTTTTAAAATTAATTATATTGTTTTTGGTTCTCTAATCACAAGATATTTATTCAATGTCACCTTGACCAAGTGTACAAGCTATATGTAGCACAGTTTCTATATCTCATAAATGGTCACTGGTATTTATCCTAAATAAATAAGAGCTGGCTGGCAAAAGTAATTAAAAACTAATCAGATTCGGTTTTAAAACAGAACCCTTCCATGATAAGCTCCAGTCCTGTTCCTGAGCTTGGAGTTTTGCTGCAGTTGTGTGCAAATTCATAGCCTTGAGTGTACCCTAATTAATACATAACATTAAAAGATACAAATTTTACATTATTCCCATTTTGGTCATTAATTTAAAGAAAGACCAAACAAAGTGGGACTTATACTTTATATTATACAAAAGCATATTTTTAAAGTGTTATTTAGATCTTTGTAACAATACTAGTTGACAAAATTTTAGTTTCCCAACAGAATAGATTAAAAGTATTTTTTTTTCCTTTCTTCATCTTATTCAATAAGAAACTATCCAAAATATTAAAAACTTTAAGTAATAAAGACTTTATTGGGAAAATTAATAGGGTAAAGTATTTTCGGAAAGATTTCTTTCTTGTTTTTTATTTTATTTTAATGAGCATTCTTAAAATTTTATGGTCCTGAATTTTAAAAACACGTCTTCCTGGATATGTGCTTTTCACTATTCCATTGTGCATATCATGGAGAATTAGATTTACCTTAAGTTAATTTTGCCAGAACAATATGATAAAGTGGGAGAAAGGTAAGGGAATTAAGAGTATATTCAAGGGATTATATTGAAGGACCTTAGAATATAAATTGAGGAAATCAGAGCAGAAGTGAGATTGAGAGACAAGAAACAACTGGTAAGATCAGATTGTAGGTCTCCATGGGGTCAGTGGGTTGCAATGCCGGAGGAAGGGAGCTGGAAAGAAGTGATAGTGGGGAATGGGATGATTGAAATAGAGATTATGGAGGGATACAGTTATTGGTGATAACAGGGTCTAAGGTGTGGCTTAGGTATGCTTATGGTGAGGGCTATGTAAAACCTTGATTTCTAACATAAATATCTTTCACTCCTAAAGAGATGATTGAGTCTTGTTTAGTGTTGTATCTCAAGCACTGAGCTAGTAATAATAAACAGCAATTATTGTTATGTTGACTATGCCCTTTTTTTATAAAGTATGTCATGAAAGCCATTCCTCAATACCATGGGGTTCAATGTAATCTCAATTTCTTTACTATGGATTTAAATTTAGTATTTTTAAGTTAACTCTTCATTATTCATACTTCTTTTTTCTTTAGGACTTTGTTGTTACTCTTGTTGTCACTTTCTTGTGGCTGGTAAGCACTTCAGCATGGGCTAAAGCTCTTACAGATATTAAAATAGCTACCGGTCACAGTATTGTCCAGGAACTTGAACCCTGTGGTGCTCAAGGAGTGATGTGTTATTTTGGCTCTGTGACTAGTATGGGATCCTTAAATGTATCTGTGGTATGTATACAGTATTTATAAAAATACTTTATTTCACTTCTTTGAAAAACCTTGCCTAGTAATGTAAAAAAACAACAGCTCTTAATTATCTCTGGATGTGTTGGTTTTTATTTTTATTAATCTGTTAGAATCCTGGTTACTATGTAGTTTTTATAACAACAAAGAAAAGTTTGTTAAGAAAATTAGGAAACGGGTTTGAACAAAGGTCATAATTGAGTCATTCTTTTCATTAAAATTGACTAGGCAGGACTTTTACCTGATAGGTACTTGTAATAGTTGCTAACATTTATTAATTCTATATGCCAGGCATTACACTCATATCTTAGGTTACATAAATTTACATATTCTTTAGTCCTCTATTTTATCAAAATTCAGATAAATATATAATTAAATATAATGTTAATATACAGAGTACATTATTTTTAGGGAGTTCTCTGTCTTTTCAAGAAAGTGTTAGATAAAGAGAATCAGCAGCGCCTTATAAAGCAGTTTGGTTAAATTTTTGCTTTATAACTTTAATTACAAAGTCACTTTTGGGGGGAGAATGGGGAGGAGGGTGTCAATGGGGAAAAAAAGGAACATCTGTAACAAAAATAAATTTAAAAAAATAAAAGTCATTTTTTTGCATTTATATTGATAATATCTGAAATGGACAGTTTCAGAAATGTTTTTGTGTGCATATATATACAAAAAGATATAAAGCATTTGGCCTTCAGTAATATGATAGTATTCTCAAGCTTCTTATCCCACTCTTCATATTCTTTTTATAAATATAAAAATATATATTTCTTATATTTAGACAAAACTGTGAAAATAAGATAGCTTCAGTTTATTCATCTCTGAGACTTTCATCTTTTTAGATTTATACCAGGGAAGACTAATTTCTTTTAGGTTGACTAATGCAAGATGTGAAATAAAGTTCTTCTGACTCTTATCTCTTCTGATTGCAGCTGTTGGAGTAGGAAAGATGGTAGGTAGTAGGGGAGATAAAGTAAGAAAGTTAGAAGAGATATACAAAGGCAGTTTAAAAAGAGAGTTTTAGCCCTGGCCAGTTTGGCTCAGTGGTTGGAGCATCAGCCTGCGGACCAGAGAGTTCCGGGATCGGTTCCCGCTAGGGGCACGTACCAAAAAAGAGAGAGAGAGTTTTAGTTACTTTCTCAAATTTAATCTCATTTTTAAATAATAATGAGCATGCAAAAATAAGATTTCTTTTAATCATGGTTTTTTATATGTTACAGATTTAGAGATTTAGCTTTATTTCATTGGGAATGAGTCATTATATATCCGAGTTTGGCATTGTAATGTAAAGTCTTTTTTATTCCACATCAAATGTAGCTTAAACTTTAAATGAAATAATGGTATACTGCCTGGAAATGTTAAATATTTAAAGGGAAACTAAGATGGGTATGAATATTTCAGTAGATATTAGATCTTCATGTTTATTTTTCTCTTTCTTAGATCTTCGGCTTTCTAAATATGATACTTTGGGGAGGAAATGCATGGTTTGTGTACAAGGAGACCAGCTTACACAGTCCATCAAATACTTCTGCTTCCCATACCCAAGGAGGTATGCCACCTCCTACTGGAATATAATTAAAGGGAAAAGTACACTGTATGAAATATACATCTATACTCTGAGAAGCTTATTTGTTTCTAATAAAAGTAATGGCTTTTTCAATAAATTGGTGGGTTTAAAATTTTGCTGCTTTTTTTACATAAACCTCCTGTACCTTTCCTAGAAACTTAAGATGTAAATGTATTCTCACATGTAAATTTGAAATTTCAGGAGCCTATTATGAGATGATACACATTTTTAAATGAACATTCATTTCTTCACTAAGTTGTTTGCCTTCCAAAGTGTTTACACCTTAAGCCTTAACATATATCTTTACTCAGAAAAGAGTTATATTGTCATATCATAATAAGAAGAAAATCTCTATTTGGAAATACACTACTGTCATTTTGTACAGATCATATACCTAAGACCTATCTTTGTTTAAGAAAGCCTTGCTTACATAAATCATATTTAGAAAAAAGCATATTTAGTTCAGAATTTATATCTGGACAGTGTTTATATGTGATGAAAAAATTTTAATTGCGAAGACTGGGTGTATGTTTTATTTTTGTTTTTCTAAATGATCTGCAGTACTTCACAGGTGTGCTAAAATGTAAGGGTTGAAAATCCTAATAGATGTATGTTCATTTGTAATTCTGTCGCAAGAGATGTAAGCTTCCATTATGCTGGTTGGTTAACAGACTTGCCGTATAACTAGAAAGAACATGGTTTAATTAGATATTTTGATATGTACAGGCATTACTCTTAGTGGTATTTGTTTGCTGCCCTTTGTTGCTCATGCCACTTAAGTGCAGACGGAGACCTATTCTCCTTGCAAGTAGAAAAAAATAATCCACCTTTTTTTGCAGACCCTATTCATAGGGTTAAAAAAAATTAAGATTGCCTTTTACTTTTGAAACATTTAATACTTAGAGTCAATGAAGTTGTTATTTTGAATTTAGCATTGATATTGTGAAAATAAATGCAATTCGGATTTTGTGTTTCTTAATGTTTATTCTTCACAAACGGGTGATAAAGGAATTATGATAAACAGGGAACCTGTGATGTTTTTTTCATTTGTATTTCTCTGATTGCTATTGAAGTTGGTGATCTTTCTCTGTATTTAATGGCCACTTAGGTTTCTTCTATTCTGTATTGCCTATTTATCTTCATGGTTTGTGCTTTTTGTGTGTTTTGGTATATTCTGAATTTGGGGCTTATTCACATTTTGCTTCCTAATCATTTTGTTGTACAGGGCCAGATTTCCTGTTCTTACCACTTGCTTGTTTATTTGTGACGCACGTCTTGCTATTGCCTTATTTTTGTTGATTTTATTCATGACAAGAATTGTCAGTATGAGAATATATCTTTTATGCAACCAACTTAATAAAGAAGTTTTAAAAAAAAGAGTACACTGATTGTTATATTACAAAGAAACCTTCATTTTTAAAGGCATGGGCAATGCAAAATAAATTAAATTTTCTATGCAAGAAATAGAATATCACGGGTTTTTTTGTTTTGTTTTGTTTTTAATGTTTGACAAGGAATAAAGGAGATTTAAAAATGCTTTGGAGACCCTGAGTTTATCCTTTTTTCTTTCAGTCTCATTTGAAAAATGTTTGTTTATAACTTTCAGGTTAAGTTTTCCTTATAAACCTTTTCTAATTTTCCATTCAGTTAAGCACAATGATTCTTGACTAAGTGTGTATGCTCTGGAGCCTAAATTTTAATCTTGGCTTCACCACCTTACTAGCTAATTAACTAGGCAAATTACTTACCCTCTGTATGCCTCAATTTGCTTATCTGAATAATGGAAATAATGCTACTGACCAGCCCTGGCCAGTTTATCTCAATAGTTAGACTGTGGGCCTGCAGACCAGAGAGTCTCAGGTACAATTCTGGTCAAGGGCTTTTTCCCTCGGTTTTGGTTTTATCTCCCTCCCTGGTTGGGGTCTTGCAGGAGGCAACCAATTGATGTGTCTTTCACACTGATGTTTCTCTCTCTCCCTCCCTTCCACTCTATCTGAAAATCAATGGAAAAATATCCTTGGTTAAGGATTTAAAAAAAAGAATGCTACTGACCTAAAAGTATAAAGATAAAGTGAGTTAATAAATGTAAAGTCCTTAGAAACAATATTTAAAAATATAGTAGGTTCAAAAAAAAATTATATATATAAATATGTGTGTGTGTGTATTAGGTTCATAAATGTTTACTATGATTACTAACTTGATAGCATCTACTATAGAGACTCTTAACCTGGGGTTCATGGGATTGTACCAGGAAAGGGTGGTGGTCTTGGACAGAAAAGCAGGATAAGCTTCAGGATTACATGAGTCTCCTTTTATTTCCCTAAAGAGTCTGGGATGTTTTAGTATTTATTTTTCTGTTTGTGATAGATGTACATAAAATGAAAGGCATTTAAGTGTAAGCAATAATATATCTCCACTACTAGGTTGAGCAAATACTAACTTTGTTTTCTTTGTGTTAGATTTGCTTTGGTTTTGTCTTTTTGAGGAAATAAAACGTTACATATACAGCCTTTTCCTCTCTGAAGTACAGTTAGATTTTTCTCACCTTTCACTCTTAACAAATAGCACTGGAATAAGTATTTTTGTGAAATGTGTGAAGGCTTCTCAGGACATCACTAAAAGTAGAACTGTTGGAATGCGAGATACATTTCAGTTACAACTTGGGTATTGCAAAATTGTTCAGTAAAGTGTACCAGTTTAGTCTCCCACCAACAATGTGCGAGTCCCAGTTGCCCTATAGCCTTGCCAATACTCGATGTTATTGGACTGTAGCCAATCTGATGGATTTGAAATAGTGTTTTGATGTTTTTTAATTAGTAATTCTCTGACTGCTATTGAGTTTGGTGATTTTTTTTTTATTTTTTTTTATTTTTTTTTTATTGACCACTTAGGTTTCTCCTATTTTGTGTTGCTTATTCATCTTCATGGTTTATTGTGCTTTTTTTGTCGTAAGAAATCCTTCTCAATATCCTAAAGATAAGCATCTGTTCTCTGAATGTGTTAGTTTTGCATTTTTACTTTTAGGTCTTTAAGCCAATGAATGTAGGAATGGAGAAAATTGACAGAATAATCTGTGGTTGGGCTTGCAGGCAAGGAAGTAGAGAATTTACCATGAGAGTAGAGTAGCTAGGTAGGGAAGAAAGTGAAAACGGGGAACAAGAAAGGAGACTGACCAGCAATCCTGGTAAATTCAAAGAACAGGTGTGGTGGGAGTTATCAGAATGAGAGAACTGAGAAGACGGCTATTGTCAGAAAGAATTCAGGGGGCCAGTTAGGGTAAAGAGGTGTAGGGTGTGGTTATGGAGGTGAGTGAATCAAGTGTAATGGAGACACAAAAGAGCAGAGTATTCCCCAGGTTCTTGAGAATGGTATTGTGATTAAGGCACTATTCATTTATCTGAGATCTCTACTAGCAATCCCCTTCCTGGGTAGCTACCCAAAAAACTCCAAACGTGTTCGTAAAAATATATGCATCCCTATGTTCATTGCAACATTATTCATGGTGGCCAAGATATGGAGACAACCAAAGTGTCCTTCAGTAGAGGATCGGATAAATAACATGCGATACATATGTACAATGAAGTACTACTCAGCCGTAGGAAAAATGAAACGCTGCCATTTGCGACAACATGGATGGACCTTGAGAATATGCTAAGTGAAATAAGTCAGCCAGGAAAAGCTAAGAACAATATGATTTTACTCATATGTGGGATCTAAAACTGAAACTTGTGGACATAGAAACAGTGTGGTGATTACCAGAGAAAAGGGGGTTAGGGATGGAGGGGCCCTAATATATGGTCACAGAAGATGGTTTGACTTTGGATGCTAATTAAAAAGATAGGATTTTTTTTTTTAAAGGAAAAAAAGGTATAAAGGTACAGTAATCAAGACTCTGGTATTAGCATCAAGATAGACAAATGGGTCAACGGAACAAAATACAGTGTTAAAAAGTGGCACATATATGGGTAACTTATTTTTGTGCAAAGTTATATAGACAGTTTGTTGGGGAAAGGAATTCTTTTTAACAAATGGTGCTGGAGCCCTGGCCAGTTTGACTCTGTGGTTAGAGTGTTGGCCCTCGGACCAAAGTGTCTCTGGTTCAGTTCTTGTCAAGAGCACAGTACCTGGGTTGCAGGTTCAGTCCCCAGCCCCAGTCAGGGTCATGAGGGAGGCAACCAATCAGTGTGTCTCTCTCACATTGATGTTTCTTTCTCCCTTCCTCCCTCCCTCCCTTTTATTCTATCTAAAAATCAATGCAAAAATATCCTGGAGTCAGGATTTTAAACAAAAAAAAAAGTGCTGGAACCAGTAGATAACCACATGAAAAAAACAACAACAACAACAACAAAAAGAAACTTTGATCAGTAACTTGGGACCATATAAAAATCAACTCAAACTGACCCTGGCAGGGTGGCTCAGTTGGTTTGAGCATTGTCCCATACACCTAAATGTTGGCGAGTTTGATCACCAGTCAGGGCATGTATGTGAGGCAACCGATCGATGTATCTCTCACATCAGTGTTTCTCTCCATCTCTCTCTAAAATCAAATACATATCCTTAGATGAAGATTTTTTTTAAATCCACTCAAAATGGAACATAGTACAAAATATAAAACCTAAAACTATACAATTCTAAAGAAAAATAAGGAGATATGTATGACCTTTGGTTATACAAAGATTTCATATATATAATACCAAAAGCACAATCCCTAGGGAATATCTGAAAAATTGGAATCTATCAAAATCTAAAATGTCTGCTCAGAAAAACTGAGAATGAAATGACAATTCCAGTAGTACACTTGTATCTAGACTATCTAAAGAACTCAAAAGTCAAGAAAAACATAATAAAAGTTTTTAGGTATTTTACTAATATGCAAATGAAAGTAAGCACATGAAAAGATGCTTTACATCATTAGCCATTATAGAAATGCAAGTCAGAACCACAGTGAAATACACAACTATTAGAATAGCTAGAATTAAAAAGATTGACCATACCTCCCTGGTTGAGTGGCTTAGTAAATTAGAACATAGTCCTGTACTTCAAAGGTTACAGGTTTAATTCCCAGTCAAGAGTGGTATGAGTTCTTTGTATACTCTGGAAATTAACCCCTTTTCACATGTAGATAAACCTTGGCAAAATGGACAAACTCCTAGAAACATACAATCTTCCAAAATTCAATCAGGAAGAATCAGAAAACCTGAATAGGCTGATAACAACTAATGAAATGGAAGCAGCAATCAAAACACTCCCAACAAAGACCTGAACCAGATGGCTTCACAC